GGGTGCACCGGCATGGATCATGGAGGTGCGAGCCACCTCCATGACAAAACCGATGCGTCGCTCAGCGACCCTATTCTGCTGCGGGGAGTCCGGCAAGGTGAACGTCTGGGTGATGCCCTCCGCGCGACAGAAATGACCAAGGACACCAGAGGCAAACTCGCCACCACGGTCGGAGTGGAGGCGCAAGACAGGGAGACCGCGATGGACACGCGTAGCAACAAGCCACGGGATAAGAACGGCAGGCACGTCGGCCTTCCGCTCTTGGGGGAACACAGTGGTGTCGCGCGTGTAGTCGACGACAAGCACTAGGAAGTAGCGCTCTCGACGCGGCCCATGGACGGGGGCGGGGCCCCAGACGTCCATGTGCAGAGTCTGTAGCGGTGCGGCGGTAGGGGGAAACGAGGAGGAGTGAGGAGCACGGCGAAGTCGGCCCTCGACACAAGGCGTGCAAGGTGGGGCAGGAGAGGAGGGAAACTGAGAGAACGACCCAGGGAGGCCTAGGACGAGACCGTGCTGTGACATGTGACGCAGACGCGGGAGCGCAAGGTGACCTAGACGGTTGTGCCACAGGAGAGTCGGATGGGTGAGTGACCGACAGGAGCAGGCAGCAGCAACCTGGGTAGACGCAGCCACCTGAGGGGGGGTCCCAGCCGAGGGGGTCACAGTGTCCAATGTGAACAGTCCGGACACCGGGTCCCAGGGGAACGTGGTAAGGGGGGCACCAGAGGCGGCCTCGGTACAGACAGCGTACCGCTCGTGACCAGGGAACGTAGTGGTGACGCCAAGGTCTTGGAGGCAGCCGACACCAACTAGGTTCCTAGAAAACGAGGGAATGTGCAGGCCTGTGAGAGAGCCCGAAGGAACCGCCGGGCAGGGGAGGGTGGTTGAACTGCGGGCGACTATAGGGCCGGAGGAGGGGTCAGCAAGAGAGACTGCGGCAGGGACAGGAAGCGGTGTCAACGTGGTGGAGTCGCGGAAGAAGCACCGGGAAGCGCCAGGGTCGAGGGTGAAGGAGAGCGTGGCAGTGGCTGCCGGAGACGAAGTAGCGACGGAAGCACCAAGGCTAAACAAAGCAGGGGATCCTACGCCTGACGCTGGAGGGGAGTCTAAGTAAGGCACACCTACATTAGGCAAGAAGGGGTAATAAGACGGAAGCACACTAGAGTCATCAGCATACATCACATGCAGAGCAGCAACAATCGCATCCATGTCCAGATCAAATTCTGAACCCTACGACAAAGCAAGCTGTGCCAGTTTGGGAGCTCGGGCAACGGGCCGAAACGCTGACGAAACAGGTCGTCCAGGCGATGGAAACAGCGGACGGAGGTATGACCGATCTTACCGCAAACGAAGCCATGGCGAGGACCGGTCTGAAGCAGGTACTGACAGCGCGCGGCACCCGAACCACCACTCGGCAGCCCACCACGCGCACCACCACCATATCTTGCGCTGCCACCAGCGCCGGGCCACCTAGGCGGAAGATGACTCGTCCGCCTCTGCTGCTGCTGCAACTGCGGCGTCGGCTGCAGCTGTGGCGGCTGCACCTGCTGCGCCTGGCGCGGGTCCGGCGGCAACACCGGCGACTGCTGAGACGGCTGCTTGGCTGCACCTGGTAGGGTCCTCGCGTCAGCACCACCACTAGGTGACCCAACTCCAGCACCACCGACACCTGCACCCCCACCCCCGTCGCCACGTCCAGCCTTGGGGCGGCGACCCTTCCCCGGACGGATGTGTGCGGCAGCGGCAGTCTCAGCCACAGCGACAGAACCGTCAGAGAAGGTGCACTGAGCGGAGGCACAACCCTGAAAGATAGGGACAGGTACAATACCGCTGGTCTGAGCGATAGAGCGGTGGCGGGCCTCTATAAGCGGACAGGGTGTCAACAAAGTCATTGAGGGTAAGGTCTGCGGGGTGGACGCTAAGAAAGCGGTCACGGGCAGTGGCAAGACGGTCAGGGAGGCGGGTGGCTAGCAGGTAGAGAGTAGAGGTGAGGGGCGGCTGGTGGGCTAGAAGCTGTGTGGGGGTGCAGGTAGCACGCCAGGTCTCGGCTATGGTGCGCAGGTGAGCGGCCAGGTCGGCGACAGTGGGGAACGACGCAAGGTCAGGAAAGAGCATGGGGAGGATCAGACGACCGACCGAGGAAGCAGGCGGGGTGGAATAGCGCTGGACAACAGCATCTAGGAAAGCCTGGGCAGTGGTGATAGACCTAAAGCGAGGTCGCTCGGACAAGGGGAGGGCATTGCTAATAGCAAGCTGTGCAACAACGTCACGGGACAGCCAGACAGAGCGAGCAAGGGCAGCGGCTGCAGCGGACTCCCGCTCAGCGGACGAGAGGTCAGGAGACAGTGCAGCGGGGTGGTCAGGGCAGGGGAGGGTACCATCAAGATGGACAGACAGTGAGTGGCCATCCTGCCGCTGACCAGTGAGATGGCGACGGAGGTCAGCAAGCCACGCATCAAGCTCAATCGGCTAGCCCTCAGCGTCAAAGTAAAGCATCGCCGCCATGAGTGACAATAGAGGGCAGTGTAGAGTAGGACAGTATGGTGCAGTGCTGTGCAGTGTGGTGCAGTGCGATGCAGTGCTGTGTAGTGCGGTGCAGTGCGGTACAGTGCGGTACAGTGCAGTGCAGTACGGTACAGTGCGGTGCAATGCGGTGCAGTGCGGTGCAGTGCGGTACAAAGCGGTGTAGTGCGGTGCAAAGCGATGCAATACGGTACCCGGGGGGGGTTCGGAGGGCGGTGCTGATCGGGAAGAACGGGCCGAACCCGAGGCAGCGGCGGGCCGGCGACGACGCGAATGCAGGGGCCGGCCGGCGGGCGGCAAGTAGACACGGCCGCGATGGCGGCCAGGGACAGCCGCAACGGCGGCCAGGGACAGCTGCGACGACAGCCAGGGGCAGCCGCAACGGCGGCCAGGGACACCCGCGACGGCGGCCAGGGACAGCCGCGACGGCGGCGAGGGGCGGCCGCGACGGCAGGAGCGACCGTGAGGCGGCTGGAAACGGCAGCGGCGGCGGCTAGGGGCGGCCACGACGGTGAGGGGCAGCCGGGACGACTAAGGGCGGCCGAGGGACGGCAGGAAGCGGTCGCGACAGCGGCTAGAAGCAGCCGCGACGGCTAGGGGCAGGCTCAAACGGCCAGGGGGCCAGCTATGGACGGGCGCGAACGGCCAAAGGGCCGGCTGGGGGCGAGCGCGACGGTCAGGGGGGCCAACTAGGAGCGATCGCGAAGGCCAGGGGGCCGGCTAGGGGCGAGCGCGACGGTCAGGGGGGGCTGGCTAGGAGCGATCGCGACGGGCAGGGGGCCGGCTAGGAGTGGGCGCGACGAGCAGGGGGCCAGCGAGAGACGGGCGCGACGGCTAGGGGGCCAGCTAAGGGCGAGCGCGAGAGCCAGGGGGCGAGCTAGGGGCGGGCGTCAACGGTCAGGGGTCGGCTAGGGACGGGCGCGACGGTCAGGGGGCCGGCTAGGAGTGATCGCGACGGTCAGGGGGGCGGCTAGGAGCGGGCGCGACGGCCAGGGAGCCAGCTAGAGACGGGCGCGACGGCCAGGTGGCCGGCGAGGGACGAGCGCGACGGCCAGGGTCCGGCTAGGGACGGGCGCGAACGACCAGGGGGCCAGCTAGGGACGAGCGCAAACGGCCAGGGGGCCGGCTAGGGACGGGCGCGAACGGCTAGGGGGCCGGCTAGGGACAGGCGCGAACGGCCAGGGGCCCGGCTAGGGATGAGCGCGACGGCTAGGGGAGGCCGGCTAGGAACGTAGGGGCGGAAGCGTGAGCGGACTAGGGGGGGATCTAGCTTGTTCAAATTATATAAGTTATAATTTAATATAGGCTTGGTAGGTTGTTAGTGAACCTTTCTGTAGGGGGTACAAACCCCTCCTTGTACTCCCCTCTCTTCCTAATCCAATTCTCTTCTCTCTCGACACTCTCGTCCAGCTCCTAGCTAAACCCCGCCGCCACATTCATGGCGGCCTTGTTCCTGCCTAGTATCCTAGCCTAGAGCTACTTTAACATGGTAACAGAGCAGGCCGTTTCCGGTCCTGCCTTCCACGCTTCCGCCTCGTCCTTATCTTACGTTTCACTTCGTACCGTGCCGCTGATGGCGGCCTTTCGTTTTCCTGCCGCCGTGGCGGCCTTGCCTTTCCGCCGTGGCGACTTCTCTGAGATGCCGCGGCGGCTTAGTCGAGCTACAGTCGCACCTCCGCCTCGCCGCCGCGGCGTCGACGTCGCGCTGTGGCGGCGTCTGTTTGCTGCCGTGGCGGCGTCATCGGGCGACAGCCGGCTGCGCATCGTCAATAGTGCCGCCGGACCTGCCGCCCGCTCTGCAGCCGCCGGCGTGAGTCTGGACTACGCCCCGCGCCCCTCTCCCCCCTCCCCCCTCCTTCCCCTGCTTCCCCCCCCTTCCTTGCTGTAGCCAACGACTGCCTCATGCGGGCCCTCCCCACCGCCAAGGTGACTGGACATGCCGCCGAGAGGGCGGGGGCCGCTGCACCAGCCTCTGACGTTCATGCCGCCGCTGCCGCCGCTGTTGCCGCGGGCCGGGCGCCGCCGCACACCGCCGCCGCTGTCGTCACTGTCGCTGCTGCCGCCATTGCCGTCCCAAGGGCCGTGGGAGCTGCCCACTTCCGGAGTCGTTGCGGCTCCTGCTGGGAATGGGGGTGCTGGGCTAGGGGGTGTGGGTGTGGGTGTGGGTGTGGGTGTGGGGGTGTGAGAGGGCTTGACACTACCAAGCCTAGGGGGTGTGTTCAAATTATATAAGTTATAATTTAATATAGGCTTGGTAGGTTGTTACTGAACCTTTCTGTAGGGGGTACAAACCCCTCCTTGTACTCCCCTCTCTTCCGAATCCAATTCTCTTCTCTCTCGACACTCTCGTCCAGCTCCTAGCTAAACCCCGCCGCCACATTCATGGCGGCCTTGTTCCTGCCTAGTATCCTAGCCTAGAGCTACTTTAACATAGCTTACTATGATACCATATCAGAAAGAAAATGATTGAACTAGAATGTGTGTGTACAAGGATATATAGACTAGGGTGTTGTACCCTCTAAGGCACAATCCAGTATAGTCTACAGTAACAACCTAAGTTACATTTGACACTAAAGTCCCTTATCTGACTGCTGTTCTATTCTCTTCTCTGTTCATTGCGACTGGCTGACTTACCGTGCAGCATTCGCATCACATCACACTCCCTCCATCACCTTTGCCACCACTTGCTCATCCATCTTGAACTGACAGGGGTGTGGGGGGAGGGGGAGTGGAAGGGGGGCATGGAGTGTTGTGGAGGGAGAGCTTGTGTGTGAGGTGAGGCCCCAACACAAGGAGGGAGAGAGAGCAAGGGGATGCTGCAGAAGACGGGGCAAAGCTGCAGAAGAGCCATGATAGGTGTCATCTCTTCTGACCCATGATAGGCTGCAACCTACCTGCTCTTCCTCTCCCCCCCCTTCATCTACCTCTGTGCCTCCACTCACACAAGGAGCACGACACGCCCCAACACACCCCCCTTCCCCCCCACCTCCCCCCCCCCCCCCCACCCCGACTCCCCCCAGCGCCTTTCGAGCCATTAACAGCGCCTTTCAGCCCCATCCGTTCAGAATCAGTCGACCGCTCCCCTCCCCATCTCCCCCACACCCCCTCCCCCCTATCGCACCTTGAGATGCTCTTCCTACTGCCTCATAGTGCCATCCAACTGCCATTCCCATGCCCCACCTGTCCTCCCGACGGACCCCCACAAGCGGCGCCACCCACCTTCCGCGCCAATCACCTTCCGCGCCACTCACCTTCCGCGCCACCCACTTGGTGTGCTCCGCGCCCCGCCGCGTCATCTCCGCCGCGCGATCCGCGTCGCTCTCGTCGCGGAACGCCGCGAAGTTCTCGCGCGCGTACTGCGCGTAGTACGGCCGTGCATCCGCGGGGAGGCGCCGAGCCAGGCGCAGGATGCGGCGGTAGAGGTGCAAGGGCGCCGGCACGGACGCCGCCATTAATGCCCGTGAGAATCCCGAGTTATTTGCGCCTTTTCAGCGAACGCACCTTGCCTTCAGGAAAGCAGAGACGAAAGGAAAACCGCGACTTTTGAGGCGCCTCGAAAATCGCGCGCGTAAGATAATCGCGTAGGGGAAGGAACGAGAGGATGCGGGCTCGATTGGAGCTAAGCTACGAGTGGGCAAGGGGCCGGGAGGTGCTGCGTCGAATTTGAATCAATGGCGGCGCTGAGAGTGAATGGTGGTGGGGGAGCAACTTATTGCAGGTGTGTTCAGGATGCGTTACAGTGAGGAGGTGGGGCATGATTCGTTAGCAACATGTACTTGCAGGGGAAACGATCATGTTATTGTGTACGGTGGCTCTACGCAGCACTCGTAGGAATTATGCCTACCTGCCACATATTCGATATGTGCATGAAATTCAAAGCCCACTAACTGTTAGAATATTCTTTACATTAGAGTGGATCCAGCGGGGACTTTATCAACATAATTTTAGCCCGAACCGAGCGCATTATTCTTCTGCCTACCAAATTACCAATCCCACACTTCATCGTCCACCGTCCACCGTCCACCGTCCACCGTCCACCGTCCACCACCCCATCCTCATTCCCTTCCACCGGCATCCCTCTGTCTCCGAACCCCACTCCCCTTCTCCTGCAAAGCCGGCAATGGCCAATGCATTGCCATAAACTCCCCTTCATCCTCCCCTTCCCTCACGCCACTCCCCTTATCACTCCTCCCCCCAACCCCGCCCAAAATCACCAATCCTGCTCCCCCTCCCCCTCCACTCCCCCCTCCCCTCCTCCCCCCAGCCTCGCCCCCTCCACAACCATCCGGTTCGGTGACCGCCCGAAGCATGGCGTCAAGCATGGCAGCAGGCTCGGAGCGATGCCGAGCCAGCTGCCGCCTGGCGGCCGGCACAAGCACCACCCCACCGCCCCTATCACCAACCAAGCCACCTGAAACCCCACTCATCCCGCTCCCGTGCCTCATCAAACCCCCCCCTCCCATTGCCCTTGCCCCTTTTTGCACTGGTCTGGGGGGTCCCCTCGCCAGCCCTGATACATGCGTCCTGCGCCCCCCGCCCCCTCTGCTCCCTGCTCCCCCTCCTTCCCCCCCCACCCCCCCTGCTCCCCCTGCTCCACCCCCTCCCCTGCACCTCATATCCGGTCCCAGCGGGGCTGAGAAGAAGGGCTGTGACGTGTCGTTCTCTGATTCGCTCTGCTCTGACTCACTCCCCTCACCCCCCTCACCGTTGTAGCTTCGGCCGGGGGCTACTAGCCCTAACCCTCCCCTGGTGCTTGCTCTGCGCTCCCCCCCCCCTCGGCCCCGCCACACTCCCCAGTATTCCCCCTTCTCGGCCGGTGCTTAGAAGAGCCGGGGCCGGGGGGAGGGGTTCTGGGAGGGGGGGTAGGGGCGTCACCCCCTGTGGTCTGGCAACGCCGCATGTTATGGGAGAGCGGGGCAGGAGAGGCAGCAGCAGAGGGGGGAGAGACGGGGAGCGCAGAGGCAGAGGGTGGTGCATTGGAGAGCGGTGAGGAGGATGAGACGGGAGGACGGGGAGGAGGGAGGGAAGGAGGGGTAGCTGGGCTGGAAGCAGGGGGCCAGGCGAACACCTCTGCAGCTAAGGGCTTACGCCGCCGGGTTCCCACCCCCCCTACTTTCACTGTCCCACTCCCCACCCAGCCCCCTCCCCCTCCCCCTCCCCCTCCTGCTGCTGCTGCTGCTGCTGCTCTTCCTCCCGTGGGTCCCCATGTTTGAGACCTGGTGAAGGAATATCCTGCAGGAGCAGTAGGGTCATCGCCAGCGCCGCTGCTGCTGCTGCTACTCACACCCCCACCGGCACCCGCACCCGCACTGCTGCCTCCGCCGCCCACTCGCATAGACCCATACTGAAGTGGCCGCGATTGCTCCGATTGCCCTAACTGACCCGACAGTCCTCCTTGCCCCGACTGCCCCTTTTCTGCAGACTCCTCACCCACCCCGCTCCCTCCCCTGCTGCCTCCCCTCCCGCTCTTCATAGCAGCTAGTCTCACTCTCCGCCGCTCAGCAGCAGCAGCAAGCGCCCGCTCCTCCTCGCCTCCACTCCAACCCCCCCGCCTCCCCACTCCCTCCTCGCCCTCCCTCGGGCCGCTACCATACCCCATATCCATATCCCAGTCCGCAGCTCCAGCCATCCCTTGCCTAGCTGCGGCGCTTCTCCCCGGACTGAACTCCCCTCCTGCCGAACCTCCCACCGAACCCCCCACAGAACCTCCTACCGAGCCTCCAGGCCCCATGGCAGCAGCATACATGGCAGCAGCATCGGCAAGTTCCGCTTCCTGCAGGAGTCTCTGCTCTAGGGACTGCACGCGCACAAGCTTCGATGGGGTCACCCCACCACCCAGCGAGTTGGCTGGGATGGGAGCAGCCCCTCCCAGCCTGGAATAGCTCGACCCCCTCTCGTTGAACTGCCCCCCTCCCTTCAGCCCACTTGCCCGTCCCACTACTCCACTTCTACCCCCAGCAGCAGCGGCGGCGGCGGTGGCGGCACCAGTAGCACCAGCAGGAGCAGCAGCAGCAGTGGTGGAAAGAGCACCAGCAGCGTCCCTGCGTCCGTCAGTCCGACCCGTGTGCTGCTGCAACCCCAGAGGGCTTCTCCGCGCCACCACCCCTGGTTGACCCTGCTCCCCCTGCGCGTTACCGCGTGGGCCCTCCCCGACGGTGGGCTCACTGGAGCTTCGCTGGACCAGAGAGCGGGCAGTCGCTGGGGTTACGGAGCCATTCGCGGGGACAGGGGAGGGGGAGGAAGGACCTTCTACAGCAAAGGATGCAGCAGAGGGTGTGGCAGCCGCATGGAGAGCAGCAGGCAGTGGAGAAGTGGCAGAGGATTCACGAGTGTTTGATTTCGCAGGAGCCGTTGGCGTGGCACGCCCGTCCAGCAGCGTGCTAGGGCTGTTGTCTTCACTCTCGTGCTCCTCGCCCTCGTTCAAACCACTCCTGTTTACGCCACAGCCTGCACCATCATTGCGACCGCCCCCATCACTATCACTATCACCACCATCACCATCATTGTAATCATCATCATCATCATCATCCGTATCGTCCAATGTGAGAACAGAGGAGAAAGCACGACTAATCACATCCCTTGCTTCCAACCCCCCATTCGCGGGGCCCCTCTCCCCATCTTGCCTGCCATCATGCCCCTTACCACGCCCGCCTCCATTGAGCCGGCTATGCGCTCGCCCCCCCCTGTGCGAGTGTGTATGCGAGTGGGAGTGCGACATGAGCACCTCTCCCGAATGCTCCAGACCCAGCATCAGCCGGGCCGGCACCCCAGGATTCACCCCAGGACGCAAAAAGGAGTGAGGGGCCTGCTGCTGCTGCTGCTGCTGCTGCTGCTGCTGCTCTGATCTGAGGTCCGATAGTGTGTCACCATCACCTGCAACATGCCACCTCCCATGCTCCTTTCCCCCGACCACCTCTCCTTCTTCCTCCGTCTCCCGCTCTATCCCGTCTGCTATCATTTCTGTTAGTACCTCCTCTGAAACCCTCTGTACACCATTCTCCCACTGTAAACCCCCATTCCCCGAACCCCCATTCTCTTTGGGATCCCCACCTGCTGCTTCCCCTTCTGTTACCGGCTCCAATCCTACGCGCACTGCTGCCACTGCTGCTGCTGCTGCCTCCCCTATCCCACTGCCCCCCCCGGCTTCACCTTTGCTGCTGCTGCCGTTGCGGCTGGGGCTGGTGGCATGAGCCAGAGCAGGGGTGCTTGCCGGAGCCGGCACAAAGGAGGAGCGCACGTGATTATCCCCTGCACGTGGAACTGTGCTCGACCTTCCCTCAGCATGCCACCGCTCGTTACTGTCACATCCACAGTCAACCCCAGCCCCCAGTCCGCCAGCCGCGCGGCCTTCGCTACCGTCACACTCCGATCTGCCACACGGACGCATAACCACAGCTGCATTGCCTCCATCCGCGTCCCTCTGTGCGGCAGCAGCAAAGCCTGATGCTTCTCCTTCCGCACCCCCTGCTGCCCCCACCGCACCCTCTGCTGGCCCCACCGCATCCTCTGAAGCCCCCAACCCATCCCCTATCGCACCCATTCCACCCTCCACCCTATCCCCATTCGCCTGGCGGCCGCCTGCGCGTGCTTCTGCCATCTCCGCGCGCCTGTCATAAAGTGGGGATTCTGTACACGTAGCAACAGGAGGCCCGTGCACCACTCGTACACCTATCTCCTGATTAACACTCCCCTGTGCGGCACTCCCCTGTGCGACACTCCCCTGTGCGACACTCCCCTGTGCGACAGTCTCCTTAGCCCCAGCATCGCCTCCGCCCTTCGCGTCTCTATGCTTCCCCCCCCAATCGTCCGACTTCCGCCTCCCAACTCCCACTTTCCCCTCCCCACCTAGCCCTACCGATTCAACCCCTACTGCACCGCTTTCAACCTTCTCCGTCCCATGCCCTTCCCCGCCCTTGTCCGCCTCTCCTTTAACCCCCTTTCGCTTCTCCGTTCCCTTCTTTTGCGCCTCCCCCTCCCCCTCTTCCTCCCCATCCCCATCCCCCTCCTCCCGCCCTTCGCTCGTACGCGCCAGGCGCACCGCATGGTCCGCTTCCGCGCCCATGTCCCGCCTGCTCGACCCCGCCCCCTCCCGCCCGCTTCCCCCCCCCATGGAGTGCCACAGCAGGTACTGCGCGTCCCTAATAGACGCGACCGCGCGGCTGCTGCTGCGCGTGAGCGCCGTGCGGGTGAAGCGGAGGGAGGCGGAGACGGGGTGCGCCCATGCGCCTAGCGTGTTGTCCTCCGCCGCCTCCCACACGTCCCGCGCGTGCCCGTCGCCTTCCGCCTCCGCCACCTCCGCGTGTGCGCTGTCCCCGCCGCTTCCGCCGTCCTGGTGCTGCTGGGGGGGGGTTCGGCCCCGCAACCATGGTTGCCATTGCCGCTGCTGCTGCTGCTGCTGCTGCTGCTGGTCTCGCTGCTGCTGCTGCTGCTGCTTCTGGTGTTCATTCACACCGTTCGAGTTCCGCTTAGGAGCGCGACGGCGGCTGCGGCTGCGGCGCAAGGGGAAGCCGCCGACGGTAGGCGATTTAATGTGAGGGGAAGATGCCAAGGGAAGGAGAGCAGTGCCTGGTAGGGCGACACACGACGCTGCAACCGCATCAGGCGGAATGGCATGGTTCGGAAAACCAGATTCGGCAGGAGGTGACGTGTCCCCAGCTGACGTGGCTTCGCGCTGACGGTGGCCGCCAATGGCCGGAGAGTCATAGCCGGTCGCAGCTTCGTCGCATGGCCGCGACTCTCTGGGCGACAGATCGTTAAAGTCGCCCGCGTCCGGACAAAAGCAGCTCATGCGCCTGTCTCTCTATTTACACCCGCCTCCCCCCCTGCTCCTGATCCGCTTATGCTTGCCGCGTCTAGTAGCCACAGGACAAACGCGGCCCGGAGCAAAACGAAACGCGAGCGAAATTTCAGGCCTGTGAAAATACCTGTAACGGCTGCAGATGCCGCGGGAATGATTTCAGGCCTGTGAAAACCACCCCTGGCTAAGGACGGAAACCCTGAGATGGAACAAGAGCATTTTATTTGGAGCCTAGGACGGATTGCCCGTTGGCTTCGCTCCGCGACGCAAGGCGATGCATGGCCGACCGCGTGAACGCCGGTTTACGGCCCCAGGTTCCAGCGGAACGCACCAGGCGTAGCTAGAGCAGAGCGTTTTTAGGATGTGCGGTTCTGAGGGTGGTTGGAGAGAGGAGGTAGAATTACCACAGGTCACATGGGCCCCCAGACCCAGACTTGTCATAATTCTTGAACCCGTATCCTTCGCAACCCTTTGAAAGGTCTGTTCTGTACTGCCAAGCGTACCAGAAACGAATCGAAGGGCAGGAAGGAGAAGCAGTGCTGAATCCTGACCGCTATGGTTTCAGCCTCCCGAACCGGCCCGCCTGACCAATTTCCGCTAAAATACCCCCGAAATACAACCCCCGTAATAGTTCTGGTCATGTCGTTCGTGAAGGCTATTTACGGTCAAGTCGCCCGCATTGGATGGCAACGATGTAGGCATGGTTTGGTGGTTTTGTGAGGGTTCCTGTCGTTGTTCTGTGGTTTTCAGCGAGTTGTAATGGGGTGAGACGACGCCGCATCCAAACTTTGAAGCAAAGCGGGTGAAGAAGGGGTTGGCTGGCAGGCAACAGGGCCTTAGGTTTGCCACGCCACGGCCACTTTTGGTTTGGCGCGTCCACCTGGGGTGGAGCGGGCAAGAGAGAGGATGACGAGGGGCAAACCCCTCAGACTTATTGGGAGCTGTCCTGCCAAGAGTCGACAACACTGGGCCGTTCACATAGTATACTGTTCTGTACCGTAATAAGCAGAAGGGAAGATGTCAACATAAAGATAACGCCATTAGTATAATAAGACTTCCCTGAAGGAGTGGAAGAAAATAGCACAATCTGAGGGCGGACGTCTCCTCTGTTGTTGAACTACCCCTCTATCAAAGACGACTAGTGGATACATTGGAATAGAAGGCAGTACACAGGATGGAGGACAGTACAACACAACAAGGCTAAAAGGCGTACAAAGAAAGGTAACAACAGCCACCAGTGGAAACTTCCTATCTCCGCTGACTACAGCCACAAGCCCTGTGGAGCTCGGAGCAGCTTATTATCATCCAAAGGCGGCCGTATGAGCCGCCTCTTATTCTGGTCAAGAATTACCAGATGTGGCACGGAGAATGCCACTTATTCATCAGCCACCAGTGTCTTCGACGACACCAAAAGCGCACCGTACATACAGAAGGTAATCCGTAACGGCTGTACGTATACAACAACCCTGGCTGCTTCGTCCAGGGAGGTTCGCCAGGGAGCCAGCAACGCCTGTCGGCGGGCTCGTTAAGCACGCGGAAGGAGTTACTGGTCCACGTAAGAAGACTGCACGGCGACGAGATGCGAGTCGAATTCCTCCTCGGATGGCAAAGGAAGCAGCGCAGGCACGCCAGTCAACGGAGAGTCGGCAACGCCAGCGGATTCGAAAACCGCACTCTCCTCGTGACAATCGTAGGCGTCGTGGTCGTGGTCAGATCCCCACGAAGCGCTAAACTCGTGGACCGCACGAGGCGACGTCCACGTGGGAGACGCGCCGGAATCAGCGGAGTCTTCGTACGCCGACGAGACCGGTGCGAGGTTCATCGACGCTAAGTTCAAGTCGGGGGTTGCTATGGAGATGCCTTCAGAGGCAGCGGGAGACGCGGCGGGAGAGTCGATGTGAACGGCTGCGTTGTTAATGGAAGACTTGAGGGTGGATATCATGGATGCGATGGCGGTGATTTGCTGCTGCTGCTGCTGGTTCTGCTGAAGCTGCTGCATCCTGCAGTGGTTGGACGCGGAGGAAAGCAAGGCCATCCGATGCATGTAGAGCTGGGCGTTCTGCTGCCGCTGCTGTTGCAGCAACAGCAGCAGCATCTGTCGTTGCTGCTGCTCCCACTGCTGCTGCGCGGGATTCATGGAAGAGGCCACTGCTAAGCCAGACAGGGACTGCTGTGCTGCGATAAGAGCAGCGGCTGATGCGTTAGCGGGGACGGTGGAGGGCGTTAGACGAGTTGCAGCGGCGGCGGCCAACTGAGCTCGGCGTAGCTGATCGGCGAGTGCGTAGTTTGCCATAACTGCTGGGTTCGTATGCGACGCCATCGAATCCGAAAATACGCCTCCGCACGCGTTATGGATTTTCGCTTGGGATGAAGCGGCGGCAAGATGCTGGAGAATCAAAGCGTTCGAGTTACAGATGTCCTCCATAACAATCGCAGATTAGTTCAAAGGGCGAGTGCTCGCAAGCTACTGGATGCTAAACTGTTCTGACGTGACTGGAGAGAATTGACCAAACCCTGGCAGGAGAGGCAGCACAGAAGCAGGCAAGCCGAAGTTGAGAGATGGAGAAGCCGAGGCAAAACTGTAGGCGGGCGAACTGAACAGAGAGTGGGAGAGAGAGGAGGAGATGGATGGGATTGTGGCTGCTGTTGAATTCGATGAAGTTTGTGAGGGGCTGTGCGACAAGTAGATAAAGTGTGCGACTGCGCTTGGATGACAGCAACGAATGAGCGATCTGGTGAAAGATCCCGCGACAACCCGCGGCGACTTTTGACGAAAGTTTTGGAGCAGCGCGGGCGACGCGGGTCGGCGATTTCTGTCTGCAGGGAGGGAGGGAAGGAGACAGGGAGGGGCAGGGCGGACAAACTGTCGAAAAAAATAAAGTTTTGTTTGCAACACTCTGCGCGTGGCGGATATCCTTCAAATCGCGCGGAGGGGCTTGCGCCACACCTCACTATGCAGCCCCCCCTACCGGATTCTTCGCGGCACCGCTTCGGCGCCGAGCCGAGGCGGACCGTCTTGATGCTACACAGCGCGCCGCAGACTCGCGGGGGTAGACAAATTTCGGGGGCTGATTTGGAACTCGGTGGTTCGCAGCGCCTGACTAGCGTCCCGGTGGCAGCGACGCGCCTGTGGCAAAACACACTTCCGGATGTGACACAATCAGAGAAAACGAACCGCCAACTTGTAGCTCAACGACTAAAGTCTTGTATTGGAATACCGCGCAAAAAGGGATAAGTGTTTCTCCACGCAAACATATTTCTTGAACAGCATAAACTTTATGTTAACTTGAAACTTGCATGAAGTTGTCTTGCATGTCCACGTCTAGCGTTGCGTTCTTGGGAGAACCCCGGAAAACATGACAAAACAAACTCAACACATAACATTGGCCTGATTAATATATTCCGAGGTGCACATTTTGGGCTTTCTTACACATACACTCATTGTCCTAGGAAGCAAACTTATCACTATACAAATTGAGTTTTTCACGTAACATACTTTCCTACGGTCTAGGGTGCGTTTCTCAACACAGAAGACCTCCCAATCCCACCAACGGGCCCCATGCCTACTTGCCCAAACGAGCTAGCGGTGAAGTACCGGCCCTTTTCCAGGTCGAAAATTGTGGTGGCGATGGGAATTGGCCGGAAGTATGTGCTAATGACAACTAGTGTGATGACAACGAGGAACAGCGCTGCGAGCAGAAGCAGAACCATGATGGCCCCTACACTCCCGTCCACACTGGGCGAGTCCGACACTTCGCCCCGCCGGTCGCCTTGGCTTGCGGGCTTGGAGGGAATGGGGCGGTGGGAGATGACATCCATGAGCATGGCACCGAGCGCCCAGTCTATGTCATGCGGCCCCACTCTGTTGGTGAAGCGCACCCTGGTTTTTAGAGAAGACGAGGGGGAGAATTAGGGCAAAAGGGAGGCAGAGGGGAGGGGAGTAGCGGAGGAGGGAGATGAAGGGAGTAAAGAGGGAAGAAGGGGTGTTGTGGATGTACACATGCACATGCATGTATGTATGTGCATACATATCCTCACATGTGTGTCTACATACGCACTGCCCCCCAGATTTCCTCTCCACACATACCCACCCAACCACACACTCAGATATGCATGCACACACATGCATATGCGTGTATGTATGCGCATACATATCCTCACATGTGTGTCTACATACGCACTGCCCCCCAGATTTCCTCTCCACACATACCCACCCAACCACACACTCAGATATGCATGCACACACATGCATATGCGTGTATGTATGCGCATACATATCCTCACATGTGTGTCTACATAGGCACTGCCCCCCAGATTTCCTCTCCACACATACCCACCCAACCACACACTCAGATATGCATGCACACACATGCATATGCGGATATGTATGCGCATACATATCCTCACATGTGTGTCTACATACGCACTGCCCCCCAGATTTCCTCTCCACACATACCCACCCAACCACACACTCAGATACGCATGCACACACACACCGACACACAAAGTCGGCAGCACACAACCCCAAGCACAACCACACACAGCAAGCGCCGATGCATGGTGGCTACCCATCGCCCCCATGCACATTCATTTCCACAACTCCAGATCAGCATTGCTCACTCACTTGGTACCATCGCTCACTCACTTGGTATCGTGCAGAGAAACCCCCAGAGCGTCATGCAGGAACGCCACAATGTATGACGCCGAGAAGCAGTACTTGCCATGCTCCCTCACTCCCTCCTCATTCAACCCCCCCTCCCTCACCACTCCGCCCCCTCATCCGGCCCCCTCCCTCCCCCCCCCCACCCGCCCCTCCCGTCCCCTCCCCCGCTCCACCCGTGCCTTTCCTACTTGCGCCGCCTTTCATTCCCCCGCCTTCCTTTCGAGACATTTTCACAGAGGCACCAGCAGCAGCAGCGCCCACGAACATACTACCCACCCTAGACCCTCCGCTGCTGCTCCTTTGTGAGTCTCCCTGCACCTCTCCCATCCCCGCCTCCACCCTCCCTGCTAATCCCTCTCCTTGTGCTCCTGGTACTGTTGCTGTGGGCAGGCCCTGGGAGCAGTGGCGTGCGCCTGCAGCAGCAAACTCTGCCAGTGTTGCCGTTGCTGGCAGCTTCAGGAACTGGTGGGGTGAAAGTGAGAAGAGTGAAGGATGGATGGGAGGGGTGGAGTAGTGAAGTGGGTGGTGGTGGAAGGGGCGGAGGGTTGGAAGGAGGAGGATGAGGGAGTGCTGGTGGTTCTAAGGCTCCTTGGGTGGGTGGGTGCATGGGTGCACGGGTGCATGTTGTTTTCGTGTGTGTGCGCGAGAAAAACAGAGTGTGAGAGGAGCGGTGGAGAAGGGGGAGGGGAGGATGGAAAGGACAAATGACAATAGTGTGGTTGCACAATGCAAGGCGTCACCCCAAGCAGGCACCACCCCAAGGAGGCACCACCCCAAGCAGGCACCACCCCAAGGAGGCACCACCCCAAGCAGGCACCACCCCAAGGAGGCACCACCCCAAGGAGGCACCACCCCAAGGAGGCACCACCCCAAGCAGGTACCACCCCAAGCAGGCACCACCCCAAGCAGGCGTCACCTTAGGAAAGCACGAACTGACCTCGGAGGTGTAGAAGAAGTTTTCTGTGGCGAAGAACTGCCCCCTCAGCTCGGGCACAAACACCCCGCCCGCAAAGGCGCAGTGGCTGTACGGGCACGGCGCGGGGGGGGACTGCAGGCTGCCTGCAGGAGTGGACAAGAGGGAGAGAGAGAGAGAGAGAGAGAGAGAGAGAGAGAGAGAGAGAGAGAGAGAGAGAGAGAGAGAGAGAGAGAGAGAGAGAGAGAGAGAGAGAGAGAGAGAGAGAGAGAGAGGGCGGCATACATCGGGTTCTTCCCGCTTGCGGTTGAGACGTACGGCTGCCCATGCGCCGAAGTGCTAACCTTCCTCAAACTCCTGGCACACACGGCCGCCCGCCGCCTTTTCAACGCCGACCCCAGCTCCTACCAGGCGGCAAAGCTGCTAAGTCAGTTCCACCAGCGCTGGTCCGTCACCCTCCAGCGGGGACAAGCCCTCACCTACCTCGGGAAGTTGAATGAGGCTTCACTACTGGAGTGGCCACCCCTAGGCGCACCTGAGGCGGGCATGTCCCTAGGGGACTGCTTCGCTGTCATTGAGCACCCTAGGGAACAGCCGTAGACTAGGAGCCTGGCCAGAAATATCATACATGCTTGTACCCACCTTATATGCTTAGCCTGTACCCAGGGTCTCCCAGCAATGAAGGACCGTTTGAGAGAGAGAGAGGGGAGACAAATGGGAGGGAGATGGGAGCAAGGTGCAAAAAAACGGTTTCCGTATTAAATGGTCCGTTTTTTACGGTCGATTTATACGGCAGATTTATGCAAATTCTACCGTATTATTGTTTTAGTTTTTTTTGTTTGTTTGCCGTTTTTTTTTTTCTCTCTCTCTCTCTCTCTCTCTCGAATGGTCCTTTGTTGCTGGGAATCCTGGGTACATGCTAGGCAAGTGGAGCAGGCGTAGGCTAGAGCCGCCGGTGGGGAAAGGCCAGCACCCGGCCCTACCAACCCCCCCCCCCCCCCCCCCCCCCCCTTTTCTAAGGTTCTATCACGGCGAAGCAGTCCCCGAGGGACATGCCCGCTTCAGGCCCTCCCAAGGGGGGCCACTCTAGCGGTGACGCCTCGTTCACTTTCCCCAGGTAGGCCAGTGCCTGTCCTCTTTGGAGGGTGACGGACCAGCGCTGGCGAAACTGGCTAAGTAGTTTCGCCGCCTGGTACGAGGAGGGGTCGGCATTGAAAAGGCGCCGGGCGGCCGTGTGTGCCAGGAGTTTGAGGAAGGCCGGCACTTCCGCGCAGGGGCAGCCGTATGTCTCAACGGCCAGCGGGAAGAAGCCTACGTATTCTGCCCTGTGGCGGTACATGTCGGTCTTCTTGTCCGCCTGCTCCCTTGCCATGTAACCGCGCCCCTTGCGGGCGAGGGGGTCCCTGGAGCTGACTGGGTCTGTAACAGTGACGTCGCAGATCCAGACTGCTCCCGAGTCCCGGTCCCGGACGGCTAGGTCGGCGGTTTTGCCATCGACCGGGTTGTAGAGGGCCGTCTCTTTCGAGACGATGAGCTGCGCGTCCTGGCCCATACGGATGCATTCATCCCTGAGGGCGTTGTGGGTATCGGTGCGCCCGTGCCCTGTCCCACAACGGAACAGGTGGTTGGGGAGCCGTGGGTCCGGGATCTGGACCTTCTTGGCGCAGTTGCAAACTCGTGGTGTGGGGAAGGGGAGGCCCAGGCGGAAGGCGAGGGCTATGGCGAAGTGAGGGGGTGCCAGCCTGAGGGAGGGGAAGAGGGGGATTGCTAGGAGCCAGTCCCCTGCCCCATACCCCGTGAGGGAGAGGAGCCGCTGAGTGTGACCGCTGAGGGGATTGAGCTCCATTGTCCTGGTCGCCTCCAGCTGCTCGGCGAACCGTGCTGCATGGACTTCCAGGGCGATGCGGTGCTGGAGCGGGGCGTCTGACGGTTCCGTGAGCTCGGCTCGTAGTAGCTCCCGGGCGGGAGCTGGCAGCGCCGCTTCGCATTCGGCTAGCCAGGAGTGGAGGGGGGTGGGGCTGGCGTAGGGTGGTGTGAGGGAGCGGGCCACTGCCCCGAGGGGCTGGAAGGGTCCTTGGCGAGGGAGGCCAGGAGCCGCTGGGCGTGGGCTACGCTGGTAAGGAGGGCGTGTGGCCCTTCGACTGCGGGGTCTGTCAGCCCGAGCCCACCGAGGGAGGGGGGGAGGGAGGCCTGCTGCCACGTGCGCGCCATCTCATGATCCCCGCGCGGGGGCTGGAGGTTGCACGCCCTCAGGAGGGTGTGGTAGAGTTGTTGTCCCCACTGGGACCACTCCTCTGCTGGCAGCAGATTTAGCGGCGTCGTGCGGGTCAGGTAGGAGACTCGACGAGAGACGCAGCGGTGAAGGAGGAGGCTGGCGGACTGGGGGTCCATGGCCGCTAAGGTGGGGAGAGGCTTGGCCATCGCGGCCAGCTGTTCGCGCAGGAAACTGGCCGCTGCGTCTGGTGGGCCGATATGGCTGCCCAAGATCCGCAACCCGGAGGCGCAGAAGGGGATTCCCGGGGGAGGAGGTCGGGGGGGGGAGGGGCCGTGGACCATGCCGCGCACTTAGCCGGATTATGGGTCAGGCCTAGTGGGAGCAGCGCGTGGGTGAGATGGGCGAAGGCGGCGGTGCATGGCGCTGGCTCCCCCATCAGGGTTATGTCATCGGCGTACGCCAGGCAGAGGACGCTGGGGTACGCCTGGGCGGTCTCGCGCAGGGCGGGGTGCATGGCGGCGGCGAAGAGAAGGGGTCCCATGGGATCCCCTTGCCGGACGCCACGAGCGCTGAGGAGGGGCGGGCTGTTGAAGCCGGCGTCCAGGAAGAGGGTCGAGGGGGCGCCATAGGATAGGCGCACGAAGGGGAGAAGGGGGCGAAGAGGGGAGTTGTAGAGTCCCGTTATGATGGCCCCACGGTCGACGCTGTTGAAGGCGTTAGATAGGTCGACCTGGAGCAGGAGGGCGGACGGGAATTCCGTGGCGAAAGCCCTTGCGCCATGGATTATCGCTTCGCCTCCGGCTTTCACTGCCACGCCGAATTGCAGTGGGAGGAGGTGGCTTTGGGCGGGCTCGTTCATGGCAGCGAGGCCCGCTTTTGCCACCAGGCGGTGGAGGCACTCGCCTACTGCGATTGGGCGCGTGCCTCCCTGCGGCTTCGGAAACGCCAGCAGGCGGCTGGCTGTGAGGAGCTCCGCGACTTCTGGTGTGGCAGTCCCTTTTAGGAGGAGCTGGGCTACTGCGTGGAGATTGAGGGCGACGGAGGCGTTCGCGAGGGCTGCGTCGCGGAGATGTTCAAAACACATTCCCGACGGCCCTGCACCGACACCGTTTTCGCTGCGGCAAAGTAACCGTACGAAATCAGCCTGCGAGATTGAGGTGGGAGGCTCTGAGTCGTCGAGGGCGGGCCAGTCAAGGGACTCGGTCAGAGGGGGGGGATGTTTGGAGGTCAGCACAGCGAGGACCTCTGGCGTTGACTCGCTGACCGGCGTTGAGTCCAACGCCAGTAGGGCACGTCTGAGGCTGCCTCGACGGACGAGGCCCTCGGCGCGAGAAATTTTGCCAAGGGCGTCTCCAGAGTGTCGTGGCAACGGTGGGTTGGTTATCGCATCGACAGCAGCCAGGTAAAGTAGTTCCCATTCGCCGGCCAGGAACAGCTGCAGTCGTCGCTCGACTGCTGGCCAATCCGGGTGACGTGGCGAATTGAGGCGAAGGGTGAGTCTGGGTGTGAAAAGTAACAGGCGCCAGCCTGCGAGGCTGGATGGGTGTTTGGCGATGTGGAGCAGGGGTGTCAGGAGCGCCAGAGCGAAAAGCTGGCGTAATTTCTGGGGGATTCGGCGGGAAAGGGGGGCTGGCGACTGTCGCAAAGCAGTCCCGTGTCCCAATTTGCGATCCCCGTGAAAAGGGGTTCGTTATTCGCCAGATCTTCTGGCGAAAATTGGCGCGAGGGTTGGCAGGGTTGTGCCTCGTTGGCCCCTTGATTCCGTCTAAGCGGCGCCTGCTGCTCCCTTTGAATCCGCCCCGCCCGCCTTTGCCTTCGTTCAGGTATGTCGGGATCGTCGTCCTCTCCAGCTGAATCCTCTGTGCTAGTCTCGTCCCTCGCCTCCTGCCTATAAGTGGCATCCGCACACTCCTCCGCAGCAGTCGTATCCTCCGTTGAATTTCCTCTTAAAGCCCTTCTCACAGCCCTGTGGAAGCCATTCAGGGGGCCTCCACCAGCCATCGGACCAGGCGAGCGGCCGCGCCCTCTGCCGCCGCGTCCTCTCTGCGCGCCGCTGCCCCGCGCTGTGGAGCGTGGGGTAGGCGGGCGTTCGCCCCGCTGCCTCGCCGTGCCAGCTCTGGGGGTCATCGGCGAATCGGATGGCCGACCTAGCCGGTCGCGTTCGGAGGGAGCGCTCCGTTGACCGTGAGAGTTCGGGGGAAACCGTCCCCCCCCGAGGTCGGTCGAGCTCCCCCCCCCCGTCGGACCAGCGGTGGGCGCGCGGGCTCCCAGTGCCGTCCACGAGCGCGCCAGCGTCCCCCAGTCGGATGCGGGCGGCGACGCCGCTTCGACTGGAGGGGCGAGCGGTGGTGGCTGGTGCAGAGGTCCGCGAGTGTCCCCCTGCTGGGTTGTCGCCGCCTGCACTATCCCGCGCGGCGAGCCCCCGCCCCCCCCCTGTGCTGCCGTCTCGTCCCATCCGCAACAGCAACGTGCGCCGAACGGCCCCTCGGGGCGAGGTGGTCCGCGTCGGGGGCGAAGGGGAAGCGCACTGGAGAGGCGGCTGGCGCGTACTGCCGCGACGCTGGAGGGCATCCTCGAGCGGGCTGGCGCTGGGCTGCTCCCTTCGCCCCCCCAGCAGGATCCTCCCCGACGGCTCCCCCTCCAGGCGCAGCCTCTATTGCCGCCTCAAGTCCTTCCTCCGCCCCTCCCCGACCAGCCGGCTCCTGTTGGAGCGTGTCCCCCTCAGTTGCAGCGTGTGCAACCTCGTCCTGTGGTGGCGCGCGGGGATGAGCAAACGAGCCTGCATTTCCCGCCACCTCCTCTGGCGGCTCCTCTCCTCTCCGCGCCTGCTCCGATGCTGCAGCCATTACCGCCTGGGGGGCCCGTATCCTGCCCTGCGCCCTGCCGCGCACCTGCCGCCCCCGTACGTGTCGGTCCTCTCCCCCCCGGGGT